TGTATTTTGACCATTTGTCCTCTCTTTGGTGTGCATATTGTGGCTAGTTAGCTGAATCTAGATTTTTTTTTGGAAGGGGGAGGGAGTTTCCAGAGCCCAGGCTTTTGTTCCTTCTAAACTGCAGCTACAGCAGGACTCTGTGTGATGGACACAGCAGCATGCGAGAGGGCCTTTGTAACAGTTAAGTTAAGTAAAGGTAAGGGTTTGCTGATCACAGAATGGATGGACGGGAAGACTGTCCTTGCTCTAAACATTAACACGAAAGTCTTCAAGAGCCCTGGAATGGCAAACAAACTTTTAGGATAAAAGTCTAGGCACTGCTAACTCCTGTACACTAGGCTTGGCCACCCCTCCCCAACATGCCAATTCAGGGTATAAGTAATATTGGCAAGCAGGGGAAGATTTATTCAGTGTGGTCACACTAGAAAAGGGGAGAAGAAGGGGCTCAATTTCCGAGACACTGATAAGAGATTATGTTTAACCAAAGCCAGGGCGTATTGATGATTAAGCCATCCTGCTCAAGGTGTGGTCACCACTGACCCATCGTCTTCCGCAGCTCTCTTCAGTCTGTCGTACATGGCAGTTGGTTACAAGGTGTCTTACGAAGTTGTCCGAACTGTGTGAATCCCCTTCCTGAGAGGCCGCCTCGTCTTCCTGTGAGCACCCAAGTCTCATCCTTTACTTGCCACCCCGTGTGAACTAGCTGGGGAAATTTCAGTTCTGCTACCTAGAGGCACAAGGGCCTCTTTTCAGAGCATCTCCCTTCGTGACAGGAGAGTTGCAATTTGCGTGTGATTCATAGCTGACTGTACATTCAGTGCGGACATTTGCAGAAGGGATGGGGGCATATCTAGGGTGGAAAAGCCATACCTCTGAGCCTGACGATCTGTTGAAACTAGAGCTCTCGATTCATTTTCTTGAGTACACTACCTTTTGGGAGCTAGAGGGAGTCCCGCTGCTGGTTTTTGAAACAGGAGATCATTGTCTAGCCCATCCATGCTGAATGTTTATACTCCAGGTTCAGCCTGAGTGCTGGGGTTATAGGCATGTGCTAGCACACTAGGAAATCATACTTTAAAGTATTGAAAGTATAGAAATGGAGAATAACGTAGTAGCACAGGTTGGCGGAGTGGAGGAGAGGTCGGGGAGCCTATAGTAGTGAGGGGTGCATGAGCGAGATGGTTGTGGTGAGAGAATAGCTCAATATTTTGATTGCGTTGGTAGGCCCACAAATCTATACGTGTAATAAGATGGGACAAAAGTGGACACACGTGTGCCTATGTCAAATGTGTTGGTATATATCGTTTCTAGTATATATTTTGTGTAATGTACTTATTGAGGGAGGCTGAGTAAAGGGAACTTCTTGTAAATCTATACATTATTTCAAGATACAACATTAAAGAGAGGACACAGGGAGATGGCTCAGAGGATAAAATCCTTATTGCGCAAGCAAGCATAAGGACCCGAGTTCCAGTTTCCAGCGGCGGTTTTAAAAACAAGTGTGACGCCGATGGTTGACAGGGACGTGACTTCTGGAACCTTGCTGGTCAGACAGATTAGCCAAAATGACAAAGTCCAGCGTCAGTCACAAGCCCCGTCTCAGAAACTCAGGTGAAAGGACACAGAGAGAGATGACTCAGCCATTGGAGAACAGAGGTCATGAGTTCAGGTCCCAAAAGCCACCTTGGGAGGCTCACAGGCTATTGTAACTTCAGTTCCAGGGGATCCAGGGCTCCCTTTTGTGCACCTTGGGCATCTGTGCTCACACATGAACACTCATGATTAAAATATAAAAATAGATCTTTATGGAAAACCATGCGATGAAGAAGTGATTGAGGAGGACATTCTAATGTCACGCATGCAGCCATATGAATGAGTACACCTTTGCACGCAGATCTGCATGCACACACCACATGCGCATGCACACATACACACACACACACTCAAAGTGAAAAAAATACAGAAAGGGACACTGAAGTAAATGAAAAAGAAAAACCTTAAAGCACAATCCTATATTTCTTTTCAGTAGCCTACAAAACACTTCATTTTCCAATTCCCCTTTTGTAAGAAGCCTTTTCCCCAAATACTCCATAAATTCCTTGCCTCTCTTTTGGTGGTATTGTTGTTGTTGAAGCCCAGGCTGACCTTAAACTTATGGTGATCCTCCTGCCTCAGTTTCCAAATACTGGGATTATAGGCATGTGTCACCAAGTCTGGCCACTCCTTAACTCCATGCGTGTTGGGAAGTAGGGGTGCCATGGGTGAAACCATGGCTTCACACATGCTAGGCCATGCTGTATGAACAAGCACCATCCACAGCCTCAAGCCTTAAGATGGAAAACGAAAGTTTGTTTCGAAGTCTGTACTTCTGATTCTCCAGGAGCGCAGGCTGGCGATGTCCTTTAATTGTGGTGGTTAGTTTTCGCAACTTGACACAACTGAGCCTCACCTGGGAAGAGTCTCAATGAAGGATTCTCTACATTGAGTTGAATTGTGAACATGTGCGGGGGGGGGGGGTTGTTTTAATTAATTGATGTGGGAGGAACGAGTCCACTCCAGGCAGCACCAGTACCATTCCTAGGCAGAGGATCCTGAACTGTCTAAGAGTGGGGAAACTGAGCTGAGTGCAGGCGCGTGAGCGGTTACGCATTCCATTCTTCTTTGCTTTTGTCATGTGGCTGACTATGCTGTGACTAGCTGCCTCAAGGTCCTGCCACAGAGGCTTGTCTGCTAGGATGGGCTATAACTACTTAGAATTGTAAAGCTAAAACAAACCCCTTTCCCTTGGTTGCTTTTTTTTTTTTTTTCTTTTGGAGACAGAATCTCACCATGTAGCCCTGGCTGGCCTGAAACTCACAACGTAGACCAGGCTGACCTGGAAATCAAAGAGCCCTGCCTGCCTTTGCTTCCAGGGGGCTAGGATTAAAGGTGTGTATAAGCCACCACACCCTCCTTCAGTTACTTTTCGTAAGGCAATTTTTATCACAGCAACAGAAGGAAATCGGGACAGAAATTTGTACCAAGGAAGTGGAGCCATTACTGTGATAACCCTAACTGTGTAGCATTCTTTCTTGTGAAATGTTTGAAGACAGAAATCCTGACAGATGTGCAGAAAGTGGAGCCCTAGCTCATGGAGTTTTAGAGAGTAACAAAGACTCTATCAAGAATAGAGGCTATTCTCTCTCTCTCTCTCTCTCTCTCTCTCTCTCTCTCTCTCTCTCTCTCACACACACACACACACACACACACACACACGGAGGGGGAGGAGGCTGGGGGTTAAACAGTGTCTTTCTATATGTCCCTGACTGTTCTGGAACTTGCTATCTAGACCAGGTTGGCCTCAAACTCAGAGACCTACCTGTCTCTGCTTCGTGAGTGCTGGGATTAATATGTGCTATCATGCATAGGAAGAACAAGGACTGCTTGTGTGATGATATGACCAATGTTCTGTGTGTGCTCATCATGCTAAGGCTGAATAAGCAGCTGCCATTATCGTGGGCATCAGCATCCCTACAGTGAGGCCTCCAGCGCTGTACTGGGACAATAGGAAAGTGTGTTCTCAGGGCCAGCACCCAGAAGCTGGGTTACACGTCGAGCTGGCAGCAGAATGTAGCAATGTAAACGCTGTCAACATGCTGCTGGTTTGGAAGGCATGAAAGATGCAAGACTGAGGAAGTTGTAGAGAACATCTAAGGCCTACACCCTGTGACCTGGTCAGAGTCCTTGTTGAGAGAAGCCTCAAGAAGCCATTGCAGGGGACTGTGAAGGTAAAACCTCAGTTGCAATGAGAACTCAGCATACTGGAGATGATATAGTCAGGTCAGGGGGTGTCCACTAAGGGGAGCTGGAGGTGTAAGGTGGAGGGGGGGCTAAGCCCAAGAGGGAAGCTTGTGGACACGGCAGGTTGTACATATAGAGGGATAAGGATCCCCAAGCCCTTTGGTGACAAGATTACATAACGAGCCCCAGATGTTGGGCATTGGAGCTAAAAGACTTGGTGTTTTCCTTGCAGAATTTGGCTTTGCTTTGATCTGACCATTCCCATATTGCTCCACGTTTTCACTTTTGAAACAGGAATGACTACTCTGTGCCATTAGATGTTGGAAGACCTCAGTTTTATTTTATAGGCGCTCACAAGTTAAGAGACTTGTGGCTTTTAAAGAGACTTGGGACTTTTAATGTGGGACTGTATTTTACACTGCAAGAATGAGACTGGGGAGAAGGAGTGGAAGGCAGTGGCTTAAAAGTGAAGTATTTGTGTGTTGAGTGGACAAGAGGTGGAGTGTGATAGTTAGCTGAGAATCATCTGGAAAGGGAATCTCAGTTGGCCTGTGGCCATGGCTGTTGGAGGTTTTCTAAACTCAGTTCACTGATGTGGGAAGACCCAGCTCACCATAGGCGGCACCACTCCCAAGGCAGGGAATCTTGAAAGGCAAGAGTGGAAAGATCAAGCCGAGTGCAAGCAAATGAGCAAGTGGGCACGGTGTAAGGTGTGTAACGTGTGTGTTCATTTATTTAAAGTTCCTGCCTTAACCTCCCTACAGTGATGGACTATAACCCAGAATTGCAAGGTGAAATAAACCTTTTCTTCCCTAAGTTTCTTTGGTCAAAATAGTTTTGGTTTATTTTAAAAAGATTTCTTTACTTTTATGGTATGGTATGGTATGGGTGTTTTGCCTGCATGTATGTCTGTGCCCTGTACCTGTGGAGTTCAGAAAGGGATGTTGGGTCCCTGCAACTAGAGTTAGAGATGGTTGTAAGCCACCGTGTGGGTGCTGAGAATCTAACCTAGGTCCTCTGGAGGAGTAGACAGTATTCAGAACCAGTACTAGCAATTTCTTCAGATCCTTGTCAAGTGTTTTGTCACAGCAGCAGAAGGGACAGTGGGACAGCTCTAGAGTGCTTAGATGGCATGCATGAGGTCCTGTGTTCATCCCCTAACACCACAGAAACAAAACAAAAGCCCTAAACCAGAGGAAAGGGGGAGTCAGAGAATGTATGCGTCCTTCATTTATTGTACTCTACAAGTCTGCTGTTTCCATCGGAGCTATCCATTGCTGAACAGACTGGGTAGGTTCTGTATCTGATTAAGACAACTCTTCTCCCTGCGTGGCAAAAACACAGAGACAGGTTAAGCTCTTTCAACAACTTCACTGTGAAAAGAAGCATAAGGTAGGAAGAAGAACCGGAGGCCAGGAGGCTGTGTGGCCAGGCCATGGTTCTGAGATGACAGACACCAGGCTAGCGCACAAAACCTAGAGTTCCTCCGGACTCGGAGGCAGCTGTGCTCTGGAGGTAGAGGTGCATGAGAGATTGCCTCCCGAAGCAAAGCCCTGCGAGGGTTAGCAGTTCGACTAGCCTCAGAGGGGGCACTTGGAGTAGAAGCCAGAAGTCCCAAACAGTCCTAAGTCACTTCCTCAAGTGCAGTAGAAGTGAGGTGGACAGAGTCTGTGCCTTTCATGGGAACAGGTGGTTGTGTTGTGCAGGATGGGGATCGGCAATCTGTCACAGGCTGCCAGAATCCAGACACATGTGACATTATAGAGGCCCTTTCTTGATCTTATACATTGCATGTATCCCCTGAACCCTCTTCAGCACCTTTATCTGGCTTATGCGACCTAGAAGTTGATGAATGCTGCCTCATTCATGTTCTTATTTTAGGTTCCAGGTAACCTGAGTAATTCTGTCATTTACTAGTATGTGATCTTGGACAAGTCTATCTAAACCACAGTCCCTTAAGCTGTCGGTCTTAGAGGAAAATTTGGCAACAGTTAAACATTTCTGAACATACAACTCTCAAAAATCTAAACCAGGGGCTAAGAACGTAGTTCCGTAGTTCCGTTCGTGGAGGGCTTGCCTACCATGTACAAAGCCCCGACTTCGATCCCCAGCACTGTATAAAACAAGACACAGTGGCACTGGCCAGCAATCCCAGCACTAGGGTGGTAAAAACAGGAGAATCAGGGGTTCAGAGTCCTCTTTGACTACATAGTAAGTTCGAGGCCAGCCTTGCATGAGACCCTGACTCAAAAGAAAAACAAGCTTAAAAACAAACATGCAATGAATTTGAGTTGTCTGGCAGCAGCTGCCTATGTTACACCAGCAACTTCCCTGAAATTTGCTTCTGTGTGTACAAAGGGCAACTTTGTGCTACACATGGCTGTCTTTGAACTCAAGGAGATTTGCCTGCCTCTGTCTCCTGAGTGCTGGAATTAAAGGTGGAATTAAAGTCCACCACACCTGACTGCAGGCATAATTGTTTAATCGTGAAAAGGTCTTTAAATATATTTCTACCATCATGCTTCAGTATCTACCTATCAAATTAGTGTATTTTGGGGTTGTGTCATGTTAGAACATTTGATGGTTTTAAAATTACTGCTTGCGGGACTGTAGAAATGGCTCACTAAGAGTGCTTGTTGCACTTTCAGAGGACCAGAGTTCAGTTCCCAGCACTACTGACTATAACTCCAGTTCCAGGGGATCCAGCACAATTCTAGCATCTGTGGGCATCTCCACACATGCACATACAGGCGTGCGCACGCGCTCACGCATGCGCGCACACACACACACACACAAATATTTAAATAAATAAAAATTAAAAAGTGCTGTTTGAGTTACTGCCTTTAGCTATATATTTTGAAAAGTTAAATGAATTTTGACTTGGAATTAGGACAGGCTTTTAAAAATGAAAACATTTTTAAAGTGTGTGCGCGTGGTATGTGTGTGTGTGTGTGTGTGTGTGTGTGTGGATCTGTGTGCATCTGTGGAGGTCAGAGGACTACTTTATGGAGTGAGTTCTCTCTGTCCACCTCTATGTAGATTCTGGGGATTGGACTCAGGTTGCCGTGCTTGCATAGCAAATGTTTTGATCCACTGAACCACCTTGCTGGCACTGGGAGGCTAGAATTTTTCACAGCTCCTGAAATAGCCCTGAGCATCCGTCTGCCACTTTGCTCTATGTATTTGTGGGAAGCTGTTCTCTCAGGACTAATGATTATAAAATCAAAACATCTATTACACTGAAGATGCTCCATGCCTTAACATATTCAATATTGAGGCAAGATTTAATTCTTTAAGTAAAAATAAACAGTCATCCATCTTATTAGTATGCAAATTTTCCTTCTTCTGTAATAAATGGTAAAATGATATATTTACCAAGGAATTGTTTAAAATTCTTTATGATTTATTATTGGTAAATGTTTAATTTGTGTACTTATTTTTTATACCTAGGTTACTGTGAAAATATTCAGGATGAAAAGGGGCCCCACATGGTAACAGATCAAGAAGCTCCGGTTTAAAATCCTCTGCCCCAGTTTTGATTATATGTTAAATGAGGAACTCCTGCCCATCCAGGATTTACAAAGAACTTAGCACCAAATAGTTGCTCCCATCTGTCACCCTTCTCCTTGCTCTGCTCACTGCTTTTTGGGGATGTTACATAACTCATTACTCCAGAAGTTTCCGTTCTTTGTCTTCCAGCTACCTAGATCCTGCCTGAGACAGTAGCTTGTTAATGTGGCCTTGCTGGCAAGGCTAAAAGCACCGACCCTCTAGTGTTGCTGGTGGAGACCTGGAATACGCAGAGGGAGATGCTGTAGGAGTCTGAATGAAATGTCTCCCATACTCTCATGCTCATTCATGGGAGTCTGAATGGTTAGTCCACGACTGATGGCCCTGTTTGGGAAGACTTAGGGAGTGCGATCTTGTGGGAGGAAGTGTATCATTGGAGGCAGACTTTGAGAGTATAAAGACTTACACCATGCATGCTCAGTTTGCTCTCTGCTTCCTGCTTGCTGTTCGGGATGTGAGCTCTTAGCTTGCTGCTCCAGTCTCCCGGCATACCTGCTGCCCTGCTTCCTCACCACGACAGCGGTGAGCTCTAATCCCGTGGGACTGTAAGCCCTAATAAGCCTTTCCTTCTAGAAGTTGCCTGGTCATTAGTGTTTCCTCGCAGCAATAGGAAAGGAACTAATACAGATGCTGACATTCCATCTCAGACGTATTAAAGGAACATACCGAATTCTTTCATTTTAATATTTAATTTTTGTTGTTCTAGGAATTGAACCCAAGGCATGCGAGGCAAGCATTCTATCTCTGACTCGTATCCCCAGCCAACAGACTAAATCCTTTGCTTCCTTGATATACTGTCACAGCAAAACTGTCCATGTGAGAAAGCCTGCCTTTGGTCCAAACATAATTTTAGACAAATGTATATGATTTAAGTGAAACTATAAGCCAAAGGACTCTTAATATCTTGACAACAATGGCTTCTTGTTCAGCTCAACAGACACAGGAATCAACTCCAGACTATCATTGTGGAGGTTATCAGATAGAAAGGGAATCTGAATGGACACAACCACATCAATGTTCCAGTTTCTGCCTTGGTACCATGCTTCAGTCTGTGGTTAATTATGAGATGCAATAGCAAGAGGAATGGATCAGGAAATGAAGGCAAGAGGTGTAGCTGAGGTCTTAGCCATCCATTTATTTAAGCAGTGGTGACAGGTACCCAGATCATATTTTTGGCTGAATAAGTAAATGACTATACTATATTCGATAACCTTCAGCCATGATCCTTCTCTTGTGTAAAGTTTATTGTCGGTAGCTGTGTAACCTACAGGAAGTCAGTCTGCCTCTCTGGGACTCATGCTCCCCACATGTCAGAAGGTGACACATTTATTTATATTCTAAAGCAATTATTAGAGCTATAAGAATACAGGCGTGAAACCTCTGCAGGCTGTGAATGTTCTCTGTGATTGCCCTCTATGTAAAAGGTATGCAAATAGCTGGTATTGTCATTGGAAACTTATGTCCTAAGTCTATTTTGAGGATACCAGGCATATTCTAACTATTTTGTTTTCCTTCCTTACCTGCAGGAAAGCCAGCCAAAACTGGAATAAATGAGAAAGAGAAAATTCTGCTATCCGCGACTAAGTATTACATATAGATAGGGATTTCTGCTACACTGGTCTAAGTACTATAGAGAACTGAGCTCTACTTGGCGTTCTCAGATGGGTTGGATTTCAGATATGGCTCCTGATGTGCACTGAATAATATTCCCCCTAAAAAATAGATCGAAGTCCTGTGGGAAAACTTGTTGATGGAATGACTTTTCCCCTATAAAATTACTACTACAAATTGGGTGTGGTAGATAGGCCATGCTTGTAAACCCAGGTACTTGGGAGCCTGGAGGATGACAAGTTCAATGGCTTCCTCAGATATATAGAGAGTTTGAGGTCAGCCTAGACAATCTCTTTTGTTTTTCGAGACAGGGGCTTCTCTGTAGCTTCAAGAGCCTGTCCTAGAACTAGCTCTTTGCAGATCAGGCTGACCTTGAACTCACAGAGATCCACCTGCCTCTGCCTCCTGGGAGTGCTGGGAATAAAGGTGTGAGCCACCACCACCCGGCTAAGATGCTCTCTTAAAATAAAAATGAGGAGCTGGGGATATAGTTCAATAATAGAGAACTTGCTTAGCATACACCAGGGCTTGGGTTCAATTGCCAGCGCCACAGCTAAAGACAATATAACAGAGCAAGAAAAGGTCATTACGATGGGTCCTTATCAGATATCTAGCCTGTGTATAGCAAGGTAAGGTAAATTTGGGCACGCACACACACGCACGCACACAAGGTGATGGTGTGGAGAACATCCTGTGATGACACAAACAGAGAAGGGAGGAAGGTCACGTGAAAATGCAGTTTCTAGTGAATGAACATCTGGAGCTACCTGCAGCTGGAAGAAGCTCTTCCATTACAATCTACAGAGTATGGCCCTGCCACCATGTTGGTTTCATATTCTAGCTTCTGAAAATATGAAACAATATCTGTTGTTTATACTGCTCTAGTATAGCAGTTTCAGGGAAGAACAAAATCCCCACCACATGCTTCCTCTGCCTCCCATGTAGTTATGGTGACGTTTCCTCTTCTACCCATAAGCACGCATGAAAATTGTGCCTTGATCTAGTGTGAGCGTTCAGAATGGCAGAAATGCTTAGATAGGACACTGAGCACCATCTCATGTTTTTTTCCTTTAAAAAAAGTTTTGCTTTAGCTTTATTTTTCTGAGACAGGTCTCACTATGTAGCCCAACTGCTACCCTTGATT